AGTGGGTGGTGGGTGGCGGAAGACGGTGGTGGAAAATGGTGGCGGGTGGTGGCTAGTGTTGGGTGGTAAAAAAAAAAAAAACTCAAAACTCAAAACGGAAATACATTTTTTGAGTTTACATTTTTTGGCCAAATTTATAAACTGAGACCACTGATTTATAAATAAAAAATTTACCAAACAAGTTTTTATTTGAGTTTTTAAAATTTTTATAAATATAAACAAAAAACTAAAAACGTAAGTGTTACCAAACGGCACAAGTGACTAAATTATTTAGTAGCTAAACAAAAATGACTTGAACAACAAGTCATTTTTGGCGACTAAAGGGTTAGTGGCCAAAAACAAATCAAACTTTCAGCGACTAAAAGTTTAGTAGCGAAAAAAAATCAAACTTTAGGCGACTAAAATATTTAGTAGCTAAAAAATTAACATGACATAAAAAAATTATTTGGCAACTACAATTTTAGTCGTAAAAAATAATTCTCAACTTTTGGCGACGACAACCTTCAGTCGCTGAAACTATTGTAGATAATTTTCCTTTAATGCTTTTGGTGACTAAAAAAATAGTCGGCAATTTATTGCTTTTGCTACTAAAATATTTCTAGTTGCCAAAAGCCTTTCCCAACAATTGGTCACCGACTAATGTGGTGACCAAAACTTTTAGTCGCTAAAAATCTTTGCCGACTAAAACATGACTTTTGGAGACAAAAAATTTAGTCGCCAAAAATGCTATTTCTTGTAGTGTACGCGCAATATAACATTTAATATTAATTTATTTGATAAATTAAATAGATATACGTTAAAATATGTACAAATCTTTATAATAAAAAAAAACAATATTTACTAATTTTAACTAAAAAATTGTACAAGAAAAATTCATATAAAATCTCAATTTGGTAACATGAGACCTGCATTTGCTAACAATGTATATTGATTAAATTAAAATTTTACGTTCTTATAATGCATATTATTTTAAGTATTAATCTCATTTTGTGGAGAATTAAATAAAATTGCAAGTGAAAGAACCTAATAATGATGAGCCAAAGCGTGTGCAACTTGAGATAAAATTTAAAAACAAATTGAATATAAAATTTTCAAACATTTGATTAAATATAAAATAAATAACTAAAGGTACTTACAATCAAAAGAGAAGTAGAAGATAAGTACTAATAAAACACGACTGTAGAAGTTTTTTGTTCTAACTATCACAAACTCATTAAGTAAACATATAAATAAATAAATAAAATTACATATTTGATTTTTTCAAGCATAGAAAAAGAAATTATATATTTGTTTAATCAGCCAAACCAATCATTTTTTTGAAGGAAAATCCTTTGTAGCTCGAAATCTCTTTGCCCCAAATGGCTTGACTGCCTAAAACGACGTCGTTTTGGGTATTTTTTTTTCTTCCTCCTTCTTCTGAAACAGAGAACAGAGAGAGAAGAGAGAAGAAAAGGAAGAGAGAGAGAGAAAGAAAGAAGAGGGGAAGAGGGAATAGAGAGAGGGGGGGTCGATCGCTGCCTCTGATCTCTGCCTTTGATTTGTATATGATGATGATGTGTTGAAATTTTTTTTCAGTTTTTTACATATTTTTTATTTTTGTTGATCTTTATGGTGGGTTTGCTTTTTGGTTGATCTTTATGTGTGATGATGATGATGTGTTTGGTTGATGATGATGATTCTCTCTCTCTTTCTCTGTTGTGTTGATGATGATGTGTTGGGTGGGTTTGATTTTTGGTTGATGATGATTCTCTCTCTCTCTCTCTACTCCTCTTCTCTTCTCTTTTTTCTTCTTCTTCTTCTTTGTTCTTCTTCTTCCAGTTATGGAAAGAATGAAACAAAAAAAAAAAAACAAAAAAAATTTCAAAATGACGTCGTTTTGAATTCGGGCTAATTTCGAGCTACGTAGCGGAACTGTTTTTTGAAAACATAAATTATAAACACATAAACACAAAAATAGGAATATTGATTTTTTTTAAAATCACACACACGCAAATTAAGTAAACAAACAAATCAAAATTTTAAAAATTGAATTTATACACACACACACACACAAAAGGTTAAAAAAGTTAAACAACGAAAAATCTCAAACTTTTTAAGTCTAAGTCTAAAAAATTGCATACATTTTTCTGCTTTGCAATTTAAAAAAAAAAAAAAATCGAACATAAAAATACAAAAGCACACAAAATTTTTTAAAAAATAAAAATCCAAAATACATAAAACATTGAATTTGAAACACATACACCGAAGTAAACAAACAAACCAATTTTTTTTTAAAAACAAACAAAAGCTTAAAAAAGTGAAATAGAAAAATCCCCAATCTATTTAAGTCAAGTCTGCCTCGTTTGAGAACATGTTATTTTAGTAACTTTTTTGACTTTTTGGCTAAAATATGAGATAAAAAACTAGTAGGTTTGGAATGACTTTTTGATTTTTTATGAAAAAATGTGCAAAAAGTAGAGAAAAAAAGAAATCTTTGACTTTTTTGTATAAGTTATAGGCTTTTTGATTTTTTTTAGTAACTTTTTGACTTTTAGGCTAAAACTATTACATGACAAAAGAGTTGCACACATTTCATGCTTTGCAATTTAAAAAAAAAAAAATTGAATATATAAAAATATAGAAACACACAAAATAGAAAGATATAAACCCATGACACTATCCTCATTGTCAAAGAGATTTTATTGAAAACATACACAAAAAAAAAAAAATTTAAACACACCCATACAAAATTAATCAACCAAACAAACCAATTAAGAATACTGATATTTTTTTTAAAAAAAAAAACACAAAATTAAACAAACAAAAATTAATCATCCAAACCAACCTTTTTTTTGAAACAATAAACTATAAACACATAAACACAAAAAAGAACACTGATTTTTTTTCAAACCACACACACAAATTAAGTAAACAAACAAACCAAATTTTTAAAAACTGAATTTATACACAAAAACAAAAAAAGCTTAAAAAGTTAAACAAGGAAAACTTCCAAACTTTTTAAGTCTAAGTCTAAAAAACTGCATGCATTTTCTACTTCACAAATTTTTTTTTTTTAAAATGAATATAAAAATACAAAAGCATACAAATTTTTTTTTTCAAAAATACAAATCCAAAACACATAAAACATTGAATTTGAAACACACACACGGAAGTAACAAACAAACCAAAAAAATTTTAAAAACAAAAAAAAGCTTTAAAAAGTGAAACAAAAAAAACCCCAATCTATTTAAGTCAAGTCTGTCTCGTTTGGAAACATGTTTTAGTAACTTTTTTACTAAAATATGATTTTAAAAAAAAAACTATGTTTGCGATATCTTTTTGATTTTTTAGGAAAAGATGTGCAAAAAGTAGAGAGAAAAATAAAATTTTGATTTTTTGGTATAGATTGTTGGATTTTTGATTTTTTTAGTGACTTTTTGATTTTTAGGCTAAAAAGTGATGTTGCCAAATGAGGCATAAGTCTAAATAATTGCACACATTTTATGCTTTGCAATTTTTTAAAAAAAGTTGAATACATAAAAATATAGAAACACACAAGATAGAAAAATATAAACCCATGACACTTTGCACCCTCATAGTCAAAGAGATTTCATTGAAAAAAAATAAAAATAAATTAAAACACCCATACAAAATTAATCAACCAAACAAACCAACTAAGAACATTGATTTTTTCTTATAAAAAAGATAAAAAATACACACACAAAATTAAACAAACAAACAAACCAACTTTTAAAAAACTGAATTTATACACAAAAATAAACAAAACTTTCATGAAGAGAATAAAAATTATAATGAATCGTATAACACAAAACATTTAGAGATAAAGAGTTTTGTTATACACTTACAATAAAAAAAAATTAAAAAATAAATTTTATGAACATTGATTATTTTTTATGTCGTGTCTTTTTTTTGTCCCCCAAAGAACCTGAATACTATTAAGAGAACAAATATATAAATCAAAACAAATTTTACGGATACTAATTATTTTTATAGTGTGTTTTTTTCCCAAAAAAATTGATTACATAATTGAACTTTGTAATGAAGAAAATAAAAATTACAATTAACAAATCTGTATAATATTGTTATACTTAACAGATCTGCTGGAAGTTTTAAAACTATCTAAAACTGTCCAGAACTGCTGGGCAGTTTTTTCAAACTGTTTGAACCTGTTGAACCTACTAGAAAAGGGCACTGTTTGGACAGAAAAATTTAAATATTTTCCCCGCAAGAATTTGAAAA